TGTACAGAAACATCTGTGCTGAGTACAGGCTGGAAGTCCCAAAGTCAAAATGGGATACACCTCCAAAGGTGGTTGAGAATGACCAGGCTAAGATGACAAACTGGTGATGGCCAACTAACCGGACATAGGAGTGGTGGACAAACATAGGAAGAAGGCCGTAGTGATAGATGTAGCAATCCCAAGCGATTACATCAGGAGGAAGAAACATGAGAAGCTACGAGTTACAACAGAGCACAGTCATCATCTTTATCATAGAAAACTCACTGAGTTTCAGCAGTATAAGGATAATCACCTTTATTTGGCCAAGTATGTTACACACAAGGAATTTGTTTCTGGTACAGAACCGAGGCAGCCATCTACTGCGCCAACTCAACCGATGCTCTAACCATTGGGGGCAGCTTGGGGGTTCAGTGTCTTGCCCAAGGACACTTTGACACACGGACTGCAGGCACTGAGATTCAAATGTTTAACCTTCCGGTTGAGAGGTGACTGCTTTACCCACTGCACCACTGGCTTGAGTACGAAAGGTTGGGGGTTTGAATCCCGGTCAGGGTGCGGCCTGGGTCCTTAGGCCATTAATGCTACCTGCCTACCTCATGGGTAAAGAGAGTTGGAAAAGTTACACCAGCTCGGACGTCGCCTGGGTCAACAAGGTTCGTGTCAGGTGTTGAGGAACCAAGGAAACCTGATGAGAAGTGGGCTACTGGAACAAGACATTCATGGACAAGAGATGAGAACAGGAAAATATTGGAATATACTGTATGTATATATATTTCAATAAACTTTGTTGTATGAAGAACAGGAGTTATAGTTACATAATTATAGTTATATTATAATTTCCTAACCCATGAGATCTTGTAACGTGCAGTGTGGTGTTGCACAAGACAGTGGTCTTGGTCCTTTTTGTTTCTCATTATAAATGCTTATTTTGGGTGATATTAATAGGTAAATACCATTAATTATCACATCTGCACTGGTGACATTCAACTCTGTGGACTACAGTTCAAAAGTTTGGGGTCAACTCCATTTTTTTATTAGTTATTAGTGTAATGCAAAAGCTTGTGATATTGTTTCTACAACTGACATTAAATATTGTCTGGATAGATGCAGTAGCACTGTTGCAGAAGTTCCCACAGATGTGTTGCACTGGTAGGTTGCTTTGCCTTCACTCTTCTTTTGACATGTCTGTACACTGTGCTGCCGCTCCATCATTTGAAACCTTCTGTTATTCTCTTCTACAGACTGTTTTTTTTTTGGCTCATTATGCTGCTGAAGGATGAAAGCATTTGTTATTGTACATAATCAACAAAAGATGAGACTGTAGGAACTGTTTGCATTAGCTTTCATGAAATAAATTTAGTTAATTTACTTCAACTGCTGCTTGTCATTTTTTTAGCTTGTTTAACCTCTGGAAGTATAGTTAGTTTGCCGGGGTCTGTCGGAGGTTTCTTCTGTTTAAGGGATTTTTTCTCCCCAATGTCACCAAGTGCTTGCTCAAGGGGGATTTGTTGAGTTTTTCCTCTATAACACTAAAAAAGTGTCCTGAGATGACTTTTGTTTTGATTTGGCACTATACAAATAAAACTGAATTGTACTGTAGTGAGTTCACTTTGTAACATTTAAGGTTTTGATTGGAATTGAACAAAATAAAAATGGGAAAAATGAGTGGCCCCAAATTTTGGAATTGTAGTGTACATTTCATGGGATAAAGTCTTAGTGTACTGTCATATCAGTTTACATATCCAATAATATAATTTGAGGTAATAAATACAAGCCTTTTCACTTAAAATGCTCACAATGGCTCTGAAGCATCAGAAACATTTATTTTACAACAGTATATCGGACAATTAATTTACACATACGTCTGCCTGACAGACATAAACATTATCAGTCCATGCTACAAACAGAAAACCTCTACATAACTGTGTACTGTGTCACGGTGTGTGTGTGTATACAGCAGATCTACCATTTTTCCACTTCACTGTCAAAATGGTTCACATTTAAAATGATATACTTCGCCTTGACATACAAGCTAGTGCATAATGATTAAAAACAAACAAAAAAATAATAAAATAATGCTTCAATATTATTATCATCTGGTCAATATATTCACATCAGTTCTTGTTACTTATGTAACCATTTTAGACCCAACACTGGAAGTTTTTTTGAATCCAGGTTTATGTATTTAGGCTTCACACTGCATTCATTCAAAGTTGTGTGTTTGGTCAACAGTGGAAAATGAGAAAAGGAAATTAGGGATTTTGGTTCAACAATGTGGCGTTTCAGTGGTAAGTGATCACATGACATCAAGTACAAAAACTTATCAACTGTAGATACATTTGATAAACAGAGCAGCTGCAGTTCATAAAAACCATTTAAAAGACCCTTGAAAACCTTTTGTATTCCAAAGATGGTACAAATTGAAAAGTGGAAGACAAATTTAAAAACTAAACAAAAACAAGGAACAAAAAAAAAAACAAAAAACAAAAAAAGGGTCCTGTTCTGAACCGTGTATTTACTAGAACTGACAGTGTAGATTGTTTTGTCTCAGATTTGTACCGATGTAACCAAGAACTGATTGTGAAAATGAGACAAGAAAAAGTGGATTCAGCTTAATTTTTTATGAACCCACAGATTGCTAGATAGTGATTGGAAGTTTGTGAGTAGAGGACCGCCACGATAGACACTTGCTTAGTCTTTTCTGCACTTCATCATGATATGTATAAATGCATAAAGAGTGCGTTTGATTGAGCAGTCAAAGAAAAAATAGCTAATAAATTAACTTGTTTGGTTCAATGTAGGTGCTGTTCTTTTAACTAAAATTAAACAGTTGACACAAACAACCACAATGTTCCTATATTTTCTACTACAGCTGAGCTACAGTACAACTTGTGTGACAAATAAGTAAAGAACTACCAAAACAAAACAAAACATGATTAAAAAACATTAAGCTGAAAATTGCTCTTCAGTTGTGCTAATGATTGCATAATCTACAAAACATCTGCCATACAAATGAGACTTTGGATATCGATATCCTCCCTTCATTAAGAACACAAATAATAGAAACAATACAAAGCAAATCTGAACACAGTCTACATGACATGTACAGCATTATTATTTCTCACAACCTAAAAAAAAGACTGTGTATATGTATGTACTGTATGACCTTGAAGATGACAGCAGCTCAGTACCTTTACTAATAACACTGGACTCTATATAGGCTACAATAGCACATCACACACATAGCCTTCAATGTGAAACAGAGTGCTCTGTCCTTCATGTGTAAAAGAAAGAGTGCAGAGTTTGAATATACAGTCAAAGAAGGAGGAAGTAAAGGAGAAGAGGAGAGAAGAAGTTAGAACAGGAGGAGGATTGCAGGAGATCCATAATGGAGCAGACACACCAGTCAGAGTTAATATGCAGCAGTATTGTCTACTGGCTGGTGTTGATCTCCAGCTACCAGTTCAGTCACGGTCACACTTGCCAGGGCTGGTCAACATTCAGTCCCAGCAGCTGTAAGGCAAATTCAGCAAGCCAGTTTTAACAAAGCCAACATGCTAATGTTGGCCACATACCACATTGATCAGCCATAAGTAAATCTTTAGGATTCAGAGTCTTGTGTTAGCCTGGCGGTTTGTAAAGGGCATCCTTCTGACACGGCAAAGCGTATCAAGCCCCATTGAACCTGATGGTCCAAGTGAATGTGAGTAGCTACACTCATTCTGTTTGATTTTGTGAGCTGCTCTCTCCATAATGAGAGGTGCTCCTGTGGTGATGCTCATGAGGGTTTTGAGGACCAATAAATACTTCCACCCCAGCCCAGTCATATATACTCCTCACTAAACATACAGACAGGATCAGTGACCTATTTCTTCCAGTGGAGAGAGAACCTTTTGGTTTTCAGCAAGCTAAAAGGAGACAGCTTGTTTCTCATCTGCCAGCGGAAAACCTTTCCGAGACAACATCTAAAAGTGTTTCAGTTCCAGGCACAAGGATGAAACATTCAAGGTAGTAATTTCCTTGTTTAAAAACAAAATGTTGAATGATATGAGCAATATGCCGTTGACGAAAGCAACGTCATACTGACACAGAAAGCATGAATAAGGCTTTACAGCTACAAGGCTTCTCCATGTTTTAGGTTTATCCACCAACACAGTAAAGACAAGTGCAAGAGTGAAAATCCCATTTTATGCACAGTGGCATAGTTAGTTTCACATGATAAAAGCTTTACTGTTAGAATTCATTGCACAGCTTTAGTGGAACAACTCTCTCCTCCACAGCTCTGGCTATATCTTCCATTATTATTATTATTCAATTTCCTAAAATTTAGTTGCCATGTTGTCTGCTCCTCAAACTCCAGAACAGTTTCCAAAGAGACATGACAGCAGCATGTGTTAACTGTGCAAAGCTCTTACAGGTAAAACCATCTTATGTCTTTCATGTATTTTGCAAATGTGTCTACATTTACATTAGAGAAACCTTGTAACTACACTGCTGTGAGACAGCTGTCCCTGTTTGCATGCTGTACTCCTGTCTGCACCAGACAATTGTTATCAAGTGTGTTTGATATTTTGGCTGAGAGTCTTCAAAGTTGAAAGTAACAATGGGCCTGTCGTAAGGTGGACGTTACACAGGGATATAAAACTCCATGCCTGTTGTGTGCCCAGGAAGAAACACAGGATCACTCATGTCTCACTTTGATTTGTTGTTTTCTCTCCTCCCTTTTATCTTTCTTCTACCCTCATTCCAATTTGAGATGAAATTTAGAGGAAAAGCTTGGGCTGACTATACCATCATTATTTGCTGATGTGTGTGCGTGAATGCGAGGCATTAATAATTGCTCCTGTGGATGAAGGGAAAATAACAGAGGAACAGATAAGAAAGTGTGGACAGCGTGTTTGCAGTATGTAAAGGTCGATCTTGCTGTGTGTGTTATTGGTTTAACTGTACTTATGGTTAACTGTCAGGTGTGAGCTGAATGTGTGTGTCTAGTATGCATCGGTCCTGTAGCTGTGATGTGCATCCGAGGTGAGATGAGTGGTTTCTGTTACTGTAGATGGCTGCACCACAATGGGCTCCACACCATCTGGGGAGAAAACACACATACCCACATTAGAAAGCATGCAAACCAAAATTTGCAAACCCTAAAGAAGTAACAGAGACCAAAAAAGATCTTGTCATGGCAGAATAAAGCCATGTGTGTATTTATTCCATCGCAACAGTGTTTATGTTCCCTGAAAGTGTCTAACATTACCTCACAAAAACCTTAGGTTGCAATTCCACACTGAGTGGACCCACTTTGGTATTGTATAGAAACATGGTTCCCGGCCCTCACCTCTCTCATCATCAGCCATCTGGGCCTCTAGGTCCTCAGGAGAGACGTAGAACTCTGGTTCTTGGTCCATGGGTGGCCGGGGTTTAAATTTACCACAACAACAGTTACAGCAGCAACACAGGCAGCAGCAGCAATAACAACCTGTGGCCAGGCAACAGAAGGTGAACAAGGCCTGTGGGACGAAAAGGAGCGAGAGCGGGAGAGACAGACAATTACTGAGATACTCGGCAGAGCAGAGGAAGAATAAACAGTAAATGCTGAAAATACACTAACTGTGTATGAACAGCATAGTGTTATGTGTTTATGTATAAAAAAATACTAGATACAATTAGGATTTTGAACAGAAAATAGGAGTTGTGAGGACATGTACACTACTTTTTTCTTTCCTTTTTTGTTCTCTCAGCCTTATATTGTTTACTTGTCTATTCATTGCTTTACACAACATCACTGTGCACACACACCGAGAGCCACTGTACCCAAGCCAAATTCCTTGTGTCCAACACACCTGGCCAGTAAAGCTGAATCTGGTTCTGATTCTAAATTCAGAAGTGAAAATAAATATCCACAGACTCTAGAGTAACTACAAAACATGCAACTGATTGCATAAAAGTAAAAAAAAGCACAAACATGTTTTTGATAAATACATGTGCTCGTTGCTCAGTTTTTAAAACAACAATAAAACAAGTTACTGTAGAAAAAAAACCACATTCAAGCAAAATATGTGGGAAGTGGAAGGACACAACAAAAAAACCAAAGCATCGAGCATCCACCTGAGTGCATAAAGGTCAGTTATGAAGAAATGAAAAGATTATTTCCTGGTTAGAGCACACAGTGCATGTGCTGGCCAACTGTGCACCCTACCTTTGCCCACCAGCTGGACAGAACAAAGTAGGTGTTGACATTCTCCTCTCCAAACTGTTCTGCGACGTAGAGCCCCAGCGAGCCGTATTTATCGTAGATGTTCTTCTTGGTGGTGTCGGTCAGGATGGAGTGGGCATTGTTGATTTCCTTAAACTTTTCGACTGCCTCTGGGTTGTCTGGGTTCTTATCTGGGTGAAACTTCAATGCCAGTTTCCTGTTAAAATAAAGAGGGAATGGAAGACAGTGCCAAATTTTTTGGTTACATTGTTGTTTAACAAAATAATCTGAACGCAAGGTAATCTGTTTCAAACTGTTCCAGTATTACTACTGAAGGTTATTCAGAGCAAAAGGTTGTACTCAAATGCTTTGAAATATTGAATAAACACATTTTTAAATATTACACACATACCCAAACAAAAGATACAGTTATGCCAAAACTGTAGCGTTTCACCATTATTTTGCTGTTATTTATTTATTTTGGTTTTAGGCCCATAGCAAGCTTAAGTCTTCATGTGGTTCAAAGATTTGTTTGTGCTTCTGACATAAACACAGAGAACCTAGGCTGTTAGCCAAAACATTTATGTTGGAGAAATATATTTAGTAAAGTAGAAGAGAAAGAAATGTGGGAATAAATAATTAAATAGACAAATCAGAAACAGACGGGTTGGTGCGGCGTCCACAGTAATGCGGTCTCTGTACTGGTCCGTTGTGGTGTCAATTTCCCGATCGATCTACGTTCCTACCCTCACCTATGGCCACAAACTTTGGATCATGACTGAAAGAATGAGATCGCGAATAGAAGCGGCAGAAATGAGTTTCCTCTGGAGAGTGGCTGGGTGCACCCTTAGGGATAGGGTGTGGAGCTCAGTCACCCGTGAGGAGCTCAGAGTAGAGCCGCTGCTCCTCCACGTTGAGCAGAACCAGTTCAGGGGGCTCGGGCACCTGTTTAGGATGCCCCCTGGATGCCTCCCTGAGGAGGTATTCCGGGCATTTCCCTCCGGGAGAAGGCCTCGGGGCAGACCCAGGACACGTTGGAGAGACTATGTCTCCTGGCTGGCCTGGGAACACCTTGGGGTTCCTCCTGAGGAACTAGAGGAGGTGTGTGGGGAGAGGGAAGTCTGGGAGGCTCTGCTCAGACTACTGCCCCCGCGACCCAGTCCCAGATGAAGCAGATGAAGATGGATGGATGGATGGCATCAGAAACAACAACCCAAAATGATCAGCGCTCATCTTGTTTACAGCATGGGACTAAGTCGATGGAGTGCTCCTGAGTTTACACATTTACACAAAACTGAGTATAATTTGTTTTAAAATGTAAAAGTTTACACTTTGATAATAGATATCAACATTCTTAGAGGTTAAATTGTAATGCTTAAGATGTTGGTTACACTGCACTTAATAGGAGAGACAAAGCCTGAATAGGCCTGTGGAAGGTTTACTAATAGCTACAGCCATCTCATACAATGCTGAAACCATCTTTCATGGCAAAGAGGAAAATGAAACACAAAGATCTAAATATGTTTTACAGATTTAAAACATTTAAATGTGGTCCTAATAGCTGTATTTTAGAGTTTAACCAGTCAATATGAGATTGAGGAAAACATTAGCATCCTGAGACACTGCACCAATCATCAACATGCCACTGCTTAAATTAACATTATTTATTTCAGGTTCCCTTTGACCCAATAAAAGAGTTGGTCACAGGCCCCTGCCTCCCTCTAGTGGTTTACCACATGGACCAACAACATTAAGAATTCCCTCTCTACAGTAATATATTCTTACTACATAACAGTACGTGTATACCTGTAACATTTCTTGATGTCATCTGCTGTGGCGTTCTTGTTGACTCCCAGCACGGCGTACAGTGATTCTCCTGATGTGGAGAGAGACCTCTGCCTCTGATGGTCCATGGCCTCTCTCTCACTCTCTCGTTCCTCGTCTCAGTCAGCCCCTCACCTGTCAGGCAGAAAATAAAACAAGGAACAAAGCTGATGAGCTCCAGGTTTAAATCAAATAAGTTGCTTTGTTGTTTTTCCCTCTTACTTTTCTGTTTATTTCCTTTCATGAGACTTTACTTCCTGCATATTTTTTTCTCGCATACCACTGAGAAAATCCAGTGTATTGGGGTAAGCTTGAAAAGAACAAAACCATTTTTTTATTTAGGACTACAACTAATGATAAATTTAATGATCAATTTATCTGCTGACTGTTTTCACAATGAAATGATAAATTGCTTGGTCTACAAACTGTGCAAAGCCATAATATCTCCTACTTCACATCTGTAGCAGTCACCGGCCACATCAACCTGACCAGTGTTTGATTGTTTGTTGCTTCTCTTTTCTTTTCTCTCTCCTCTATCCACTCACCCCAACCGGTCGAGGCAGAAGGCCGCCCACCAAGAGCCGAGATCTGTCGGAGGTTTCTTCTGTTAAAGGGAGTTTTTCCTCCCCACTGTCGCCAAGTGCTGCTCAAGGGGGATTTGTTGGGTTTTCCTCTGTAATAATAGTGATAACAATAAGGTCTAGACCTTACTCTGTAAAGTGTCCTGAGATGACTTTTGTTGTGATTTGGCGCTGTACAAATAAAATTTGATTTGTAATGTATTTAAATAGCAGGGTTGTAAGTGAATATTTTCTAGGGCTTCTCCCTGAAAATCAACTAATTGAACCATTAGATGAGAGGCCCGTCAGTCGAATGAGACATTTGTAGTCAAAGCTTTGTTCCTATTTTATTTCATTACAATAGAAGGCAGTCCCAGCCCCACTGTGTCATCTTCTTCGCTTGTTCAGTGTGCTGAGCAGCAATTTGTTCAGTGCTCTTATTTATTATTAACTCCCAAAATTAAAATTGACAACAACAAAATTAAACCCCCCCAGCTTAAAATTAACCCCCACCCCTGTGGTCGGTGTGGGGGTCAATACCCACTTCAATAGTGACACTGCCTGATAAGGTCCAATGACACTATTTATCAAAATGTTTCCTAGAACAAGGAAAAAAAAAATCCACTAGGACAAGACATATAAAGGTGAGCTTTGTAGTTTATTAGAAGTGTTTTCAAACATTATGGTTTACTTTTACAAGAGAAAAGACTAAGTGTAGTGACGATGTGTTGCATGTGTGCGCCCGGATTGTTCATTAAAGTGTAAAACACTGACTAACGAAGGACATACAGAAAATCAAAATACCATTTGTCATATCTATCTATCTATCCATCTATATCTACATATTAGGGCTGTACTCCACTAAGAATTTTGTCGGTTGACTCAGATTTGGCTGATATACAGTGCCTTGCGAAAGTATTCGGCCCCCTTGAACTTTGCGACCTTTTGCCACATTTCAGGCTTCAAACATAAAGATATAAAACTGTAATTTTTTGTGAAGAATCAACAACAAGTGGGACACAATCATGAAGTGGAATGAAATTTATTGGATATTTCAAACTTTTTTAACAAATAAAAAACTGAAAAATTGGGCGTGCAAAATTATTCAGCCCCCTTAAGTTAATACTTTGTAGCGCCACCTTTTGCTGCGATTACAGCTGTAAGTCACTTGGGGTATGTCTCTATCAGTTTTGCACATCGAGAGACTGAAATTTTTGCCCATTCCGCCTTGCAAAACAGCTCGAGCTCAGTGAGGTTGGATGGAGAGCATTTGTGAACAGCAGTTTTCAGTTCTTTCCACAGATTCACGATTGGATTCAGGTCTGGACTTTGACTTGGCCATTCTAACACCTGGATATGTTTATTTGTGAACCATTCCATTGTAGA